CTTCCGTTAACTGTCATTTTGATTTGGAAATTTTCATTAAAAAGTTTTTATTTGTTTGGTACGTGCGTGTGTGTATATGTGCTGGCAAAAAAATCGTTAAAAGCATTTGCAAACTTGTGAAAATAATAGAAATTATTACAATCAACAATGTGCCGCCCCCGCTGGGCGGTAAAAATAGAAATAAATTTAAATCAACCGAAAAACGTTGGCGGTGAAAATGCTGCTACCGCAATTATGTGCCATTCCATATGTTTTCGTTAGTTTTGATTTTGACAGCGGTTAACCGACGACCGCTTTACCGTCGTCCGCTGCAATTCTGGTGGAGCTATAAGTAAGTAAAATACCTTCAATTTTCTAACGAGGAACTCTCAACATTTTCAAAAGCTTATATTTCGATTTTCAAAGTACGGACACAGTTGGAAAGGTAATTGAAAACGAAATTGTGGCCATTTTTTTATAAAAATATATGTTTTTCGTAAAAAATACGTAGCTATCTATAACAAAAGATACGTTTACCAGAAAGTACACAAAAATAACATTAATTTGACGTACAACTTTATATAGTTAGGTTTAAGTACAACCGCCAACGGTGAAATAAAACAACTGTATTAATGTTACATTAATATTAATTGGCGTGCAGATATTATAAGCAGTTATCTATATTTGGTAAATTTAATAAACCGTAAATACGCTGTGGTGATATAATGAAAATTTGGAATAAAAAATCGAGCAATTTTTCATTTCAATTTTTCGGCTGCGGCACTTTCTTTTTTATAAAAAATAAACCATACTATATACCTAATGAAAATTGCCTACGCAGCTTTTTTAAATTTTTTATATAAAACAAATTACTATATACCTAATAAAAATTTGGAATAAAACATCGCGCGATTTTTCACTCGTGGCGCTGTTTTGTTTTTTCTTATAAAACGATATTTTAATATATATTTAGTCAAATATGATGCGCAGAAGAATTTTTTGTTACAAATCAAATATCAAAACATACATTTTTATAAAAAATTGTCATAATTTCGATTTTTACTTTTTCTCGCAATATGTTTACATCATATACATGGATATATACATCAATCATCTTTCCAACTGTGTGTGTTTTTAAAATCGATTCAATAGTTTTCGAAATATAAGCTTTTAAAAATTTCTCGTTTAGCTCCCCTTAGCTCCACCCTTGATAATTTGCACAAAAAAATGTGCCATTAAAATCAGGAAAGGGGGGCCATCCACGCCCACTTTTTTTTAGCTCAACGGCCCATATTTCAATTATTGTTTGAACGTTTAACGTAATGCTTAACGTAAAGTAAAAAAGATAAATTTATTAACGGCTTTTGCTCGATTTAGAAATAAAAAACTGACGAACAAACGATTTATCACAGTTAACAAATGAAAATAATGAAATTCTTAAACCTGGGACTAAATCCAGGACCTGTAAAATGTAAAAAAAAAATATTATAAATGTTTGGCTTAGGGACAAACATTAAAAATGGACGAACACGTCGGTTGGGTGCCAGATCTTGGGTATTTTTGGTTCCTGGTTAGGCACGGTGCACATTAGTGCGATACGATATGCGATGCGATATGCGATACGATATGGATGCGACATCGACATGCTGAGTACGTGGTAATTGGTAGGAAGCGATGAAAACTGTGCACACTTGCACGACAGCGACACCGATGTGATATAATATCGCATGCGTATCGCACGTGTGACAGGCTAACCTAATATTCGCGGCTTGCGTTTTGGTACGCATGCCGTCGAATTTGTTTTTTTGCGTCACCCGAAATTGACTTGCATGCGTTTGCATTTGATTTCATTGAGCGAAACGTCAAATCAAAATGTCACGCAGAACAAAAATTGGAAATTGAGTTAGCTTCATACGCACGCCGTTCAATTTCGGTTGATCTCATACAAGTTGCATGTGCATGAGAAATTTTTGACAATAAATTGGCGGCGTGCGTGAATATTAGGTTAGCCTGTGACACGGTTTTCTGAACGAGGTGAGATTAGCATTGCGCGGTATTTTTTGCAATAAGTATGCCCATTTCAAAGGCGGAAGCATCTTCCTTAATTTTTTTAGTCGAATTTATAAAAAAACCATGTTTATGAAACTATACAGACAAAAAAAAACGACTGTACAACAGAAATGACTAGTTTGGCATGGAGAAATATAGCGTCTGAGGTCAAGGACAAGGGTAAATGCTCAAAATAATATTTTTGTGATGTTTTTTTTTTTACATTTGTTTTCACATCTTTAAAAATAAATTTAAAGAATCCAATAATTTTAAACCTATTTATTTTAGATTTTGAATAGTAAACAAGATTTGGTGTTTGTTTAAATGTTAATGATTAATTATTTTGTTTCAAATACTCAAATAAATAGTAATCAGTGTAATTAGAAACAATTAAGAAATAATCATCTCATTTACCATTAAAAGAAGAAATCAGATATAATAACAAATACTAAAAAATGACGTATGTATGTAGGTAATTATTTTTGATTATTCGTTATATTTGTACATGTTTTTTTTCTTTGGTGTTATTTAATTATATTTAAGGAGTTTTTAAATTAAAGAGAGAAAGTAAAAGCAAATTTGTGTGCTCTATTATACAATGCTACAAAAAATAATGAAGTAAAAATACCCGGTAAGTCATGTTATTTTTCAGGTAGGTTTTGCCTAGTGAAGTAAGAATCGAGATACGAAATTTTTGTCAAACACCCACACAATCTTGATTTACTGTTAAAAAACCGGTTCTCCGCACTTATAAGCTTGTAACTCAGTTGACTATAAACCGAGTTTAGACCTTTCGAATGATATATGTATATGAACTTTTAGAAAACTTAAGAGATCTGTATGAATTTTTTGTATTAATTTTTTCGTCTTTTTTCAAATTTGGCAAAGTTTTCATGCACTATTTTGTAAAGCAACTATACTACTCCTGAATTGATGCAATAATAACATTTGATATATAGTGATTTTTACTTTAAAAAATCGGGGGAAATCTGACTAAGTTATTCAACCTTTAATATTTTAATATAATATTTTTGGCTATATAACTCAAAAATTTTTGCCTTACCTTTTTTTAATTCAGCTTTCACCAATTTCTCCTTGAAGTGAACGCAATATTCTGAAATAATGTGTCATGAAAATTTGAATTTCTCATTTTTAGCCGACTTTGTAAAAATAAACATCAGTTTTACTCGATATTAAACATACTTTTCCCCTAAATTTTTTAAAAGTTTATAGATATAAACATAGACCCATCATTCGAAAGGTCTAAACTCGGTTGAGAAGCAACTCATTTACAAGCTTATAAGAGCACAAATGTTTGTGTAGCTATCACAAAATGGTATCGCGTGTCGCATCGCTCTAATGTGCACTGCGCGCATTTCATATCGCATCGCGTATCGTATCGCATATCGCATTCTATATCGTATCGCAGTAGTGTGCACCGTGCCTTAATCGTAACAATATTTGACTTGGCAGCACTGTTTTTTGACTTTGAAATATTTATTGTTTGATATGGTAAGGCTGCGTGTGTCAAATAAAATGCCAATTTATTTTTGTTATTATCCCGGCTGAGTGAGGAGTTTGCAATTTTATGAAATTATAAACATAACTAGGACGTCATCAAAATAATAGTTATGGTAAGTCAATTTTTACTCTCTGTTTGCAAAGCTTTGCTAATATGTTTTTGCGTTTGTCCAGTTCTCATTACTACACAAAGAGGAATCAGCGCACGATGATGGAGTAAGTTTTCCTCTGATTAGGTTTCGAAAGAACGTGTTAACTGACAATTAATTTATAGATCTGGTCTTGTTCTTGGGGACGACTGCCACCGGAGGAAGCACCTGCAGACAATGCAACCGAAGATGAAAAAGACCCAGATGCGAGTCGGGACTCTACATTTGGAAAGAAAAAGCCGGAGCCAGTTGATTATATTGTGACCGGGGGGTTAGATGATTTGGTGAAAGTATGGGATATCCGTGACGATGATCAACTGAAGTTACGTCACACGCTGAAAGGCCACTCTCTAGGCGTAGTTTCCGTGGCAGTTAGCCCCGATGGCAAGAGTGAGTGTCAATAATATGAAAAATTAGACTTGTTCTATTGCAGCAATTCCATTTTTAGCTATCGCTAGCAGTTCTTTGGATTCAAGTCTGTGCTTTTGGGACTCGCATAGTGGTCAACAAAAGCATCTGCTCTCCTTTGGACCCGTAGATTTGTGGACAGTCGCGTTTTCCCCGTGTAATAAATATGTGATTTCCGGTTCGAATGATGGAAAAATCTCCATGTATAGCGTAGAAACGGGGAAAGCTGAACAGGTGCTAGATCCACAGAACGGCAAATTTACATTGAGCATAGCATACGTAAGTGATATTGTAACAATGTATTAAAACGCAATCAATTAATAGCTATAATTTGTATAGAGTCCAGATGGAAAGTACATAGCGAGTGGAGCTATAGATGGCATTATTACCATTTTCGATGTGGCAGCAGGCAAAGTCGCACAAACTCTCGAAGGTCATGCTATGTCGGTAAGAAGCTTATGCTTTTCTCCAAATTCTCAAATGCTGCTAACCGCTTCTGATGATGGACACATGAAACTTTACGATGTGTATGTAGAAAATAAACAAGTTTTAACTGATAACGTTTGCACCTAATATATCTACAGTGCTCACTCGGATGTCGCTGGTACACTCTCCGGTCACGCCTCATGGGTGCTGTGTGTTTCTTTTTCTGAAGATGGCAAGCACTTTGCGTCATCATCTAGTGACACAACCGTAAAAATTTGGGATTTCGCCGAACGAAAATGTATGCATACATTCTCTGAACATGGTGATCAGGCTTGGGGCGTAAAGTACAGTTTGTCAAATGATAAACTTATATCAGTATCTGAAGACAAATCCCTGAATTTGTATAACATTCCGCCCAGTGTGGTGGTCTAACTGTATTCGATAAAAATGAGGTCTTCTACATATATGTTTTGTTCGTAAAGACGTATATTTCTACTTAACCGTAATCGACTAAAAGATAGTGCACGACGTTCACACAATAAAGACAAGTTCATACCCTCATTACTCTTCATTTTTTTTGTTATCAATTAGTTTCCTACTAGCTTGTGAGAGTACACGTTCTTTTTGTCCCCTGTCTGGTATGTACACATTAAAAGTTCTAAAATAATGCAAAATTTTTTCTGAAACGGGAAGATTTTTTAATCTGTGTACAACAGACCTTTGTCTGTGACTTACCAACAACATCTTCCTTTAATTTATAGTCTGCAGCGATTCGCTGTTTGGTCCATAAACTAGAATCGCTTTGATGGTCCGTTATGAACTGCATTGCTTGCCGCAGTGTGCAACGACCAGCTGCAACTCGAGTCGGTTCTCTGTAGCCGTATTCAAAATCTTGTGGAGTTTTGCGACTTAACGGTAGCGGTTTACTGGGATCCGCGCGCTGGGAAGCATAGTCAATCTATTGATGGTTTTAAAAAAAGTTAGTGCTCATAAAGATACTGTAATTTCCGTTAACCCACAAATCTATCCTCTGAAGTTACATAAACATTTTTTAGTCGTTCATCTAGCGCTTGATCCTTCTTGTTCAGCTTTTCTACAAGCTGTGGGTCCACTGGAATTATAGTAAAATTTTAGGATGTTCTCTATGTTATTTAGAGCAAAAGATCCATCGATATTTACACTCAAGAGCTCGCTGCATGTCGTGAAGATTGGACTCATATTTCGGTGCCGGTACTGGCTTGTCACGCTCCAATACTCGATGTGCCCTATTCTCTACATTAAAACGATTCGCTTTACGTGCCAACATCGACATGACCTTTCCCATAGTAAATTATGTATTTTTTAGTTTACAACAAGCTAAAATGTTGTGTACCAGGCATTAAAATAACCTAATATGAAGGGTGATAAAACAGCTGATAGCAGTAGTGTCAATTCGATAGGTTTTGTAACCGTTCTGGCATATTTATAAATCGATTTATAAATAAATTTCACTGTATTTAAAAAAAAGCCAGAAGGGGACATTATAACCAAAGTAGCTCTCTCATATATCAAGTGCAGATGTGTGGCTAGTCATAACGATAGCATATACATTTTTGTTGATATTTTCGTTTAAATAATAAATTTAGGTATTCGATGGTCATGTGCAACCCTGGGTATAAGTCAAAAATCAACGAGTTTAAACTTTTTTCAACGAGAAGACTTCAACGAATCGGCTCTCGCGGAACGTCATCTTGCATTTGTCTATTGTTCATCGTTCTTTGCGTGCGTCCTAAAGTTTTTTCTTTGTTATTATTTTGCAATTAGACGCGTCGCAATCGAACTATAAATATTGAAAAAACTTAATTTAGTGTGAAAGTTTGTTTATGTTCTATTTATAAAGTGAATTAGTGCAAGGTGAAGCGATGTAATTTCGATTTGAAGTTGCGGAATTTCAGTGAATTTTTCGAGTTCTGCTAGTCGTTCGCAATCAGTGGAATTCGGCTCGCGCCTGCCTCCGCTCATACGTTTCTCCAATAAGATTTCAGCGATTCCAATGAGATCTATTACAATAAATTGTTCGCTACTCGGATGTATGCTGTGGTCGCGTTCGCCGTTCCGTGTCCGTGTGGCTGATTATCCGCCTGCTGCTGGTTGCCTCGTCTTGGATTTGCCTCAAATGTAAACTTTCCGCACGTGTAAAAAATAAAATGCCAATAGTGTACTAAATGAAATAGTTTACCAAATACTTATGATCAAGGTGATTTCATTTTCCATTAGATTATTTATTTGCATTTCCTGAAGGAGGCTTGAATGCGTTTCCGCGACTTCGGTTCAAGTGCAATTTTGTTTTGGTTGTGTCAAATGCTCATTAGAGATGTTTACGAGATCCATCTGTCTGTGGTCATAATCTATACCCGCCTAAGTCGGCTTAAGAAAGTATTGAGTTATATATGCCATCGTGAAATCCCCATTTGCCAGCTATGCTATTGAAAATGTTGTAGACGATCATATTTTGGTTTCCGCATAAGGATAACATTATTTTCCAAATATTTAAAACGTTTTTTCTCGAATTCGGGTTATTCGACCTAGGCGGGTATTGCTTACGACCACAGATATTGGGCCCAGTAATTATATTCTTTGAGGTTTCTATAAGAATACTTCAATGCAGTTGAAAAAAATTAAGTGCAAGAAATGTACAGTCAATCACAGAAGTAATCATAAATTAGTTTTTTTCAAAATATTCGAAATGTTTTCCATCATAAATCTTTTAAGTTAATTTTCATTCAAAATATAGCTCATTCTATAACAAAAACCATATAATTTATTCTTGCAAACTTTGTAAAAAATTTATAAAAATGAATCAAACGTAAAAAATTGTCATCAAAATTTCAAACTTTTTTTTTTAGAATTTTTAGAAAAATTTATGTACGTTATGCAGTTTTTTTATCCCGTTCAATTTTAGTATAATAAAATGCATGTTTCAAGCAGCTAAAAATTACCGCTCATTTTTAAGATTTTTTTTTTTTGTCGAGGGTATTGCGCATTTGTTTCCATATAAAGCATGAACAAAACCTACTTTTATATGGAAGAAGTGCGCAAAACCCTCGACAAAAAAAAAATAAAAACAGTAGTAATTTTTAGCTACTTGTACTTTATGATATCAATATTGAACGGGCCACAAAACTGCATAAAATTTTTCTAAAAATTCTGAATAAAAAGTTTGAAATTTAGATGATATTTTTTTTTAAGTTTGATTCATTTTTATGAATTTTATACAAAGTTTGCGAGAATGATTTATATGGTTTTTGTTATCGAATGAGCTATATTTTTAATGAAAATTAACGAAAAAGATTTATGATGGAAAACGTTTTGAATATTGTGAAAAAACTAAATTACGAATACTTCTGTGAGTGACTATGTACATACATACATACTAATTTATTACAGTAAAATTAAAGCTTAATATAAGTTACCAGGTTAAAATTTTCATTCTAAAATAAATTCTAAATAAAATAGCTTATGTATAATTAACTAAGATAACATATTCTCGATGCTATTGGAATGAACTTGATTCCAAGCAATACCGTAAATATATCACTGGTTCTTGAGTGTATTGACAAGCTCAACACCCTGGCGGTGTACAACGACATCCAATTAACTTGGGTGCCAGGTCCCGTAGGAGTTGTCGGCACTGAGGAAGAGGACCGACTAGCTAGTACAGCAGCCGCCTCGTCGCCTATAGGGCCTGAGCCCTTCATAGCGATTGGTCCAAGTACAATCAAGGAAGAGCTCAAGAAGGAGATGATCACAGTAAGGAGTCAGCACTGGCATAACGCGGTAGGCCTACGCCAGGCTAAGAGCCTACTCGGGGGTAACAACCTTACAAGATATAGAGCAATAATAAACTCATTTTCATTGTTGGTGTTTCCTACAGGGTAGGAGTGTGATGTAATGTGGAGCGATTTTCCGTCACCCCTTATCAAATTTGGAGACAAACCGGTTTCGGCGTTGTGCCATCTTCAGTATAATTTTTCGTTTTCGAAAGGGATGACGAAAAATCGTTCCACAACACATCGCAATAATAAACCTCCCCAAAAGAGAGAGTAAGAATATTGACAGGTTTTCAGACGGGTCACTTTAGACTGAATGGTCACCTGCGCTGGGGATGTGTTCAACGACCTAAGTCGCTTCTGCTATGTGAATAAGGAAACCCCCCTGCATCTGCTTTTCGAATATGAGGCATTTGAG